TGGGTTCGGGGAGTTGTCGTGCAAGGCGCTCTGCTGCGCACGGGGGGGGGAGGCGGGGGGGGCAGGGAGGGTGTCGTGCAAGGCGCTCTGCTGCGCACGGCGTAGGGCTCTGGGGGGGTCAGGGAGGGTGTCGTGCAAGGCGCTCTGCTGTGCACGGCGTAGGGCTCTGGAGGGTCAGGAAGGGTGTCGTGCAAGGCGCTCTGCTACGCACGGCGTAGGGATCTGGGGGGGTCAGGGAGGTGTCGTGCAAGGCGCTCTGCTGCGCACGGCGTAGGGCTCTGGGGGGGTCAGGGAGGGTGTCGTGCAAGGCGCTCTGCTGCGCACGGTCACTGCGGTGCTGGGGGTACAATCTGAGCAGGCCGTGCTGGAGCTCTGGGCTCTCCCCGCACACACCCGGCAGGGGAAGCCCCCCGGGAGCAGGCCAGCCCACCTCCTTTGCTTCCTCCCTCTGGATCCGCTGGACGTCCTCCGGGGGGCAGGGCCGGATCCAGCCCTGGCATGGGGCTGGCTGGGTTTCTGCGGTGGACCCTGGCTCGTTCTCCTGGGGGGCCGGCCCTGGCTGTGGCACTGGAACCCCTGCGGTAGCTGAGAGGAGGCAGTTAGCAGCCGGGAGCTGAATCCCCCGGAGCGGCCCAGGGAGAAACGCAGAACAGCCGGCGTCCCGGAGAGAGGAAGCAGCAGGGCGGGGCTGCCTGCTGGGGGCTGATAGGCAGGGCCAGGCTGTCTGCTGTGGGGAGGAGCGGCTGCCATGTCCGTCTGGGAGCACGGGGTCCCGGGACGGCGCTGGGGTACCCCAGGGGGCAGCTGCTGCCTGGCCCTGCTCCAAGGGGAGAGCTCCCTGCAGGACGCTGGTGGGGCCGTGCCGCACCTCGCTGCTCGTCCTTTGCTGATGCCCAGGGGCAGGAGGGGGCTCTCTCTGGCTCCCTGCTGGGAACCCAGTGCAGACAGTGCCTGCCTTTGCAGAGAGAACGGCTCTGCCATTCTGCAGCGAGTGGGGAACATGGCCCGGGAGCAGCCCGTGCAAGTCGGACGCCTGGAGGGGGAGAGCCCTGCCCGCGGTGGGGCTCCCAAAGGCCAGGGCCCACGTGAGGTGTCCCATGTGCACTGCCCCACGAGAGCCAAGAACCAACCTTTGTGGCCCACTCACCCGAGGGGGCTGCCAGCCCCAGGTCACTGGCCAGGTGCACGTCTCTGCAGCAGAGGCACCGGATGAAGATCTCGCTGGCTCTGGCTCCCTTTTTCCTCACCCCATCGATCAGACACCTGGCTTGGTCACTCTTCTTGCTGTGGCCTTCCCTCACCTCCTCCACCTCCTCCTCGTTCAGCACCTGCTTCTCCAGCAGGTCGTCCAGGAGGGAGTTGATCACGGCTTTGCTCACGCTCTCCACGAACCTGGTCCGCACGCTGCCGTGAAGATCTCGCTGGCTCTGGCTCCCTTTTTCCTCACCCCATCGATCAGACACCTGGCTTGGTCACTCTTCTTGCTGTGGCCTTCCCTCACCTCCTCCACCTCCTCCTCGTTCAGCACCTGCTTCTCCAGCAGGTCGTCCAGGAGGGAGTTGATCACGGCTTTGCTCACGCTCTCCACGAACCTGGTCCGCACGCTGCCGAGCTGCCGATCTGCGAGAGCAGCCTCGTGAGCCCCTGGGCCCTGCCAGCCCACGAGGCATTTGCACCCGGCCACTGGGCAGCTGCTTCACACGGGGGCTCCACGAGCGCCCAGCTGAGGACAGCCACGCCCACTGCACAGCCCTCCACGTACCCCCCTTCCCACACAGCCCCACGCACCCCCGCACGGGGCTGGCCCAGGACACTCTCCTGCAGCCCCACGGCCCTGCCGGCTCCCAGTGACGAAAGTCGGGCACCACTGAGCCTGCAGTGGGATCTGCTGCTCACTGCTCAGCCGGGAAGGACTGTTCCAGACCTCCCGGGGCAGCGGTGGGAGCGGCCGTGTCGTGCGCCGTGGAGCTCACCCTCAGCAGCTGGGGTGGAGAAGCAGCTAAACGCCCTGGGGAGCCAGGGAGCGGCGATGAGAGAAGCGGCCGCCCATGGCAGGGCATCAGGAAGCCAGCTCTGGAGCGGGAGGGCTGTGGCTGTGCAGGGCAAGGGGCAGGGTGCGCGGCCGATGCACCAGCGAAGCCCCAGACGCAGCCCCGCAACCAGCTCCAGGAATC